ATAGATATAGATATAGATATAGATATAGATATAGATATAGATATAGATATAGATATAGATATAGATACTTACATACACACACACACACAAACACATATATATGTTTCCTTAAGGAATGAGCTCTCTTTGTACATTCCTTCAAATATAAGAAGAAGAAAAATAAGGAAAAAGTCTGGTGGCACACATTACTCCATTTCCTATAGTTCTCTGTACCCTCACTTTCAGATCTTTTAGCCCTGGGTAGGGTTAAAGCACTGTGAATTTACTTCTGTTTGTAATCAATTAGACATGAATAAAAGGTTTTCAAGTTTTCTAGTTCTCACAAGGAGGAACGCACAAAGATGGCTTTGGGTTAGTTCCTGGCTATTGAGTCAGCCTTCTCCTCTGGCTCTATGAAGGACATCAAGATTTATGGGAAGCTACCCCAAGGTTGTGGTAAAAAAAAAAAGAGAGAAGAGAGACAGAAAAAGTCAAATTCAATAGGCAGAAAAATGGTCAAGTCTTACCAGAGCACACAGCAGTAACTGGGATAATGCGGTGACCAATAAACTTCCCACCTTCTTCCAAAGCTACAATTCTGAGAGAAGCCAACTCTGGCATCAAAATCTGGCAGGAAAAAAAATTGCATGATGGTTTATAACCTTTTTTACCTAAAAAAAACCCAAGGTGGAGAAAACTAGTGCCATAGCTACACTTCGGAAGTCCCCTTATTTTCCGTGCTTTCATATCTAAAAGGGCTTCTCTTCTATGTTCTTGTGGATGATATGACTTACTTAGATTTTAAAAGCAAGTAGTTGAGCTGTTTCCCTTTCTCCCCATCACATCCCCAACTATTCCTTTTCATTAGCTGCTTTCTCACTTCCTGATTCAGTTTAGCTCAAGAATAATATCGCTTTTTAAAAAAAGAAATATTCTGCCAGCTTCAAGATCAGCCACCCATATGCAGGGACAGTTCACTATATGGAATGATCCTTGTCTAACATAAAGATAGTTCTATACTGGTTTTCTTAGGCATACTAGGCATTACAAATAATGTACTTTCCAATTCCTGTGCAGAATGAAGATTATAATGCAATGAAAGGGGTACCTATTTCCACATGTTGTGATCTTGAGCTTTTGCAAATGTTTAATTTTTTTTTTAGAAAGCACAGAATTTGTAGCCCTCGATCTGACATATTTTAGGAGGGCTTTTTTTTTTTTTTTCCAAATAAAAGCTTTGAATTGAATATACTTCACTTTCTCTTAAATTTCCCATTTGCAGCATTGAAATATTAAAGAGTACCTGAGAGGGTCACTAGAAACAAGGAAATGAAGTCTGCAAAGTATTCTGCCCATAAAACATGTCTTAGAAACTACAGATTATAACAACTTCTGTTACTTAGAATTTTTGAGGAGGACTGCTTTTACTCAATGAAATGTGTTCCTGAATATTTTCCCCAACCCCGTCACTAAGTAATGATTCTAATAGTTACTTTCAAAATGTGTTGCTGATCCTGCTTATTTAATTTCATTTTTACACTGCTTCCTATATCAAGAATGACAGAGGAATCTCCCCTGTCTTAAATGCTTAAAACCTGGAAACAGCAGACATAGTACCCTTGGAAGTGACACAATATATTGTTACCTTTTCAAACACAAAAGGGTCTTCATTCCATATAGGGTTGATTGAGTTGGCATTTGGTGTCACTTTGGTTCTGTATCTACGCTTTGGATCTCCTGGTAGGCCAAACAGTTCTACCTCTACGTATGACTTGACACTGCGCTCTGAAAGGAACTGGCCAGAAATAATCTGTGCATTGAAAAAGAACAGCAGAGTAATTTATTACATAAATTCTTCTTTTGGCCAGAGGCACACCTAACTTTTCTCAGGCTGAATCTGGCCTTTGAGCGATCAGGCCAAGAGCTACATTGCAAAAAAAGTGTGGATGAGGTTGGGACAAAAGCTAACTTTCATTTTGTTTCATTTCCAATACTCTGTTCATGTAATTACTATTAAGTACAGTCACATATTGAATAATTCCCACTTTTGTGACATGTGTAACAACCTTTGAATATACTTACACCTTTGTTTTAAGCTATTACTTAAATCCTTCAGGTTAATTTCCCATTAACTTATGTAAGACCAGAGGTGGTATTCAGCAGGTTCTGACCAGTTCTGGAGAACTGGTAGCGGAAATTTTGAGTAGTTTGGAGAACCGGCAAATACCACCTCTGACTGGAGATTTTATAGTATCCTTCCCCTGCCACGCCCACCAAGCCATGCCCACAGAACTGGTAGTAAAAAATTTTTGAATCCCACCACTGTGTAAGACCCATTAGTCTTACATTACACTTTATTTCTTGCGCTGTATATTTGTTCACAAATTCATCTATCTATTGGGACAATATTACTGCAAAATGCTTCTTCATAGAAATGCATGACCTTTTTTGCATCAAAAATTGCTCGGCATGGAAAACGTGTTCAGGAGTGGGATTCTACCAGTTCACACTTATTGTCTAGAACCGGTTGTTAACATTCTAAGCAGTTCGGAGAACCAGTTGTTAGAAGAAAGTACTGGCCTAATCCTGTAAGGAAGGCTGGAAGGAAACATTCTGGTGTTGCTTACAGAAACTGCCTCTCCATTAACCCTTATTACATTCTTGGCAAGACTAGACTTCTTGTCTCAGGAATGTCTCTGGAGTTTTTTCCCCCTCCTTTGCTGGTACTTTGCTTGTGTGGAGTGACCATTCAAAGTTACAATGGCACTGAAAAAAGTGACTTATGACCATTTTTCACACTTATGACTGTTGCAGCATCCCCACAGTCATGAGAGGCTAGGCGAGGAGATGCATGCCTCGATGTGAGTAATATTGGGTTGGCCACACCCAGCCAATAACATGACCACCAAGCCATGTCCACCCAGTCACATGACCACCAAGCCA